CTTCCCTCTCCCCGCGCCCGAAAGGATCATTGTTGGCCGCCCCCGTCCCGCCCACCCCGGCTGTTTATTTATGCACACGTCACCAGCCCGGCCCCGCCCCCGGCATCTCATTAAGGCGAGTGTGTTCCTCTCGCCCTGTCAATAATCTCCGCTCCCAGACTACTCCGTTCCTCCGGATTTCGATCCCCCTTTTTCTATCTGTCAATCAGCGCCGCCTTTGAACTGAAAAGCTCTCAGTCTAACTTCAACTCACTCAAATCCGAGCGGCACGAGCTCCTCCTGTATCTTCGGCTTCCCCCCCCTCTGCTCTTTATAGCTGACTTCTTGTTGTTGTTGGTGTTTTTTTTCCCTTAACCCCCCTTTTTATTTATTATTTTTTTTTTGCACATTGATCGGATCCTTGGGAACGAGAGAAAACAAGAAATCCAAACTCACGCGTGCAGAAGATCTCCCCCCCTTCCCCTCCCCTCCTCCCTCTTTTCCCCTCCCCAGGAGAGAAAGACCCCAAAGCAGAAAAAAAAAAGTTCACCTTGGACTCGTCTTTTTCTGGCAATATTTTTTTTGTGGGGGGAAAAACAAAACTTTTTTTGGGGGGGCGGTTGATTTTTTTTTGGCTTTTCTTCTTCCTTCATTTTTCATCCAAAATTGCTGCTGGTGGGTGAAAAAAAAAATGCCGCAGCTGAACGGCGGTGGAGGAGATGACCTAGGCGCCAACGACGAACTGATTTCCTTCAAAGACGAGGGCGAGCAGGAGGAGAAGAGCTCGGAAAACTCCTCGGCGGAGAGGGATTTAGCTGATGTCAAGTCGTCTCTAGTCAATGAATCAGAAACGAATCAAAACAGCTCCTCCGATTCCGAGGTAGGAAGAGCCCCTCGGGCTGCCGGGGTTTTCATCTCTTCCCTGGGTTTGGGCAAATGTGGCCGGGAGGCGAGAAGTCGGGGCTCGGGGGGCGGCGGGCGCCGCATGCGGGGCCGGGCGGGCGGCCGGCCGGCCGGCGAGTGCGTGCGGGGCCACGGCTGAAAAACACACACAACAAAACAAAACTTGTAACTCTGTTTCTCTGCTCCCCCCCCATCCCCGCCCCCCGTCGACTCCTCGTCCCCCCCCACCTGGTCACCCCCCCACCTCGGCGTGGCGTTTGCCCCTCGCCCCCTCCACCACCTCTGCCCCTCCGGGAAGGCGGAAAGACGGCCTCCGCCTCGATCCGAAAGTTTCCGAGATAAATCCCGGGAAAGTTTGGAGGAAGGTGAGTAGACCCCCCGTGCGCCCCCCTCCCCGGCTGCCCGAGCTGCGCCCCGGGGGCGGCTGCGTGCGCCCCGGGCCTTCCCCGCGTCCCCGGCTCGGTCCGGTCCGGTGTCGGCCCGAGCCGGGGCGCGCGGGCCCCGGGGGCCACTTTTCTAAAAAAGTTTCTCCTGCTCTCTCCCGCTCCGCGCGGCCGCCGCCGTCCCCTCGCCGCCCCGCCATGTTAGCGGCCAAGAGGCAAGATGGAGGGCTCTTTAAGGGGCCACCGTATCCCGGCTACCCCTTCATCATGATCCCCGACCTGACGAGCCCCTACCTCCCCAACGGATCGCTCTCACCCACCGCCCG